ACCATTTTGCGAAAGAATGCAAGCAAAGAGCCCAAAGCTCGGACGAGTACTAGAAGCAGAAGTACAACAAGTTGGTTGAAAAAATGAAAGCAGAGAACTTGGAACATAAAGTTCTTGTTGCTGAAGAAGAAAAATGGAAGACTGATGAGGAGTCATTAGATGATGAAGTTAAATGTCTGATGGCTAAAACAAAAGATGCTGATGAATGTGAAAACAACACAAGTACATTTGATGCTGATATGTCTGATGCAGTTGAAAATTCTAGGAAGCACAACACTGACTCTCATTCAATGTATCAGGTTAAAAACTTTGTTTCCATTCAATGAATGAAAAAATCAAAATGTTTGAGTATTTGGATGTTCTTAATTCTAAGAAGAATCAAACAATAAGGGATCTGCAAAATCAACTTGATCTTCTTAAAACTGAAATATCCATGAAAAATAGCATTATTGATTCCACTCAGGAAAATCTTAGAATCACTAGTTTGTCAAACTAATCTTTGTCTGCTGAAATTGATAATGTTAAAGATCTTTTGATCAAAGAACAATCTGTGCTTCAAATTTGGGCAAAATCTCACAAAAATGCTAATTATATTATTTTTGCTCGAATACCACATTCATGTGAGAAAATTCTTGGGGGTAATTTTGCAGAAGCTGAAAAGGTTTTTAAATCACAAGAAAAAAAATCTGAATTTTATTCCATGAATGAGGTGAAAAACAATTTCAAAAACAAGTTTATCAGTAACTCTTTTATTAATCAGAGTCTAATTGATGAATAATGTGTTACTGACTCTAATGGTGTCACTGAGTGTGATATTGAAATTACCGGAATTGATCCTACCTCTTATCCTGCACATCTTGCGAAACCTACTCCTCTCACTGAGAATATTATTTCCTTCCCTATCTCAAACGGAGTGTTTCATGCTGTTCATGAACAACTTGAACAATATCCTGATTGCAGTGTTTCAGTGCATAAGTCTAAATCTGATACTAACATCAGCTCCTCATCCATCACTGATTGTAGTTCTTCTGAAACTGAATTCTTTAGTAATTCAATGTTAAATAAAAGGACTCAAAGTTCACTTGGTGAATCTTTCAAAAATAAATGTGTTAAATCTAAAAATATGTTCACCAAGAAAAACTTTGGTACCAGAGTTTGCTACAGGTGTGGTGATTCGACTCACAAAATCAGTGAACGCAAGTTTGATATAACATCATTAAGAGCTGATAACATCAAAGTTAGAAATGAAAAATGGATTCTTAAATCAAATTCTTTAAATTCTCTTCCTAAAGAGTGCTATAATATATTGTCAAATAACTTTGTGAATGACCCATCTTCGAATGGGTCAGTGTGTTCTAACTAGTTTCTCAGCACTACAGGGTTAGGAGCATCTTTGGTACTTAGATAGTGGTTCCTCAAGGCATATGACAGGATCCAAGTCTCTTCTGGAAGATTATGTCAAGAAAACTGGTCCTGCAGTAACATACAGAGGCAATGGAAGAGGGTTCACTAAAGGATATGGGCACATCAAATGCAACAATGTGGTGTTTCAAAATGTTTCATATGTAAAGGGGCTCAAACATAACCTTATCTCAATCAGTCAATTGTGTGATGCTGATTATGAAGTTCACTTTACAAAGAAGGAAGAGTCATCAACACTGACAAGAACATCGTACTTTCAGCAAGCAGAAAGGATGACATATATGTTCTCGACATGTTCTCCAGTGACAAGGCACTGATGCAGTGCTTCTTTTCAAAATCTCAAACCAATCTCAGTTGGATTTGGCACAAAAGGTTCGCACATTTGAATTTTAAGAATTTTTCTAAAATATCCAATTAAGATCTGGTCAGAGGTCTTCCAAAATTCAGTTTTGTCAAAGACAAGGTATGTTCAGCGTGTGAACAAGGAAAGCAAACAAAGTCCTCGTTCAAGCCCAAGTCATGTTCACGCATATCAGTTCCTCTTCATTTACTCCACATGGACTTGTTTGGACCTATTCATGTTCGTTCCCTAGGAGGAAATAAATATACTCTGGTGGTTGTGGATAAGTTTACTCGATTTACATGGGTGGTTTTCTTGGAGAAGAAAGGTCATGCTGCACAGGAAATTATCTCACTGATTCGTCAGAACGAGACACTGACCGGTCTCAAAGTTAAGCAGTTAAGGAGTGATCATGGCACTGAGTTCTGGAACTCAACTCTTGAAGAATTTTGTGATTTTAAAGGCATTGGCCAAAACTTCTCAGCTCCTCGCACTCCTCAACAAAACAGAGTTGCTGAACGAAGAAATCGAACACTGATTGAAGCAGGAAGAACCTTGATGATACATGCTGGTCTTCCTATGTCGTTTTGGGCCGAAGCTATTAATACAACATGTTATACTAAGAATCGCTCTCTAATTCACAAAGTTTATAAGAAGACACCATATGAGATGCTGAAAGGTCGAAAGCCATATGTATCCTTCTTTCACGTGTTTGGATGTGTTTGCTATATTCTCAATCAGCGCGATCCTAGATCTAAATTTGAGGCTAAGGCTGAAAAAGGTATTTTTATTGGATACTCATCTATTTCAAAGGCTTTTCATGTTTTTCATGTGAACAGGTAGTGCATTGAGGAATCCATTCATGTAAAGTTTGATGAAGAATCATTAACTGATGAGAAGGTAGCTCATTCCTCTGCTATCTTTCATGAGCTGCTCTCTTGTCCATATGGTGAAGTTTCACACACTGAAGAAGAAACTTCTATTCCTGATCCCATCATTCCGGACCCATGTTCTGTCAATCAAGGTACCGTGGTCAGCCCGACAGCTCATACGTCAGATGTTGATGAAACCCTTGAAGCTGAAGATTCTCCTACAACTGATGTTCCTCTCAGTAATAACTCGTCAGTGTCAAATCCATTGGAATCAGTATCAGCTTCTGAACATCGAGATCACCCTGTTGATCAAAAAGCACCCTGACTATGTGTACCGACTAGACAAAGCTGTATATGGATTGAAGCAAGCTCCTAGGGCCTGGTATGAGACACTGACATCATATCTTCTTGAAAATAGCTACAAAAGAGGAGCAATTGACAATACTCTCTTCATCAAACAGAAAGGCTCATAACTGATTCTTGTTCAAATCTATGTTGATGACATCATCTTTGGATCGCCAAATGAGCAGCTAAGCAAAGAATTCGCTGAGATCATGTCTCAAAGGTTCGAAATGAGTATGATGGGGAAGATGAAGTTTTTCTTAGGTCTTGAAGTTCAGCAACAAAAATCAGGTATTGCTATTTGTCAAAGTAAATATATTTCTAACCTGCTTGTTAAGTACTCTCTCAGTGACTACAAACCGGCCTGCACTCCGGTGTCCAAGACTGATAAGCTACACGCTAATCCAACTGGCACTAATGTCAATCACTCTCTTTATCGAGGAATGATTGGATCTCTTCTGTATCTCACTGCAAGTCATCCTGATATCATGTTTGGAACCATTCTCTATGCTCGATTCCAAGCTAATCCCAAAGAGTCTCATTTCATGGCCGTCAAATGCATTTTTCGATACTTGAAAAGGACTCAGAACTTAGCACTGTGGTATCCTCGCGACTCAGCATTTAAAATTTTTGGATACACTGATTCAGACTATGCAGGATGCAACTTAGAAAAAAAGAGTACGTCAGGTGGATGTCATTTCCTTGGAAATCGTCTTATCAGCTGGTCTAGCAAAAAGCAAACATCAGTAGCTATCTCGACTGCAGAAGCTGAGTATGTTGCAGCTGGAAGATGTTGTGCTCAGCTCTTATGGATTCAGAATCAGCTTCTAGACTATGGGATCGAGTTCATAAAGACTCCCATATACTGTGATAACACTAGTGCCATTCAAATTACACAAAACCCTGTTCAGCACTCAAAGACAAAGCATATCGAGATCAAACATCACTTCATCAGAGATAATGTTGAGAAGGGCAAGGTTGTTCTTGAACATGTCAAGACTTCAGATCAACTAGCTGATATCTTCACCAAGGCCTTGGATACTCAAACAACTGCTCACATTATTGGAGAACTTGGAATGATTACTTTGTAATTAATTTTGCTAAAGTTTGCTATTGTCTTATAAGCTGATGTACATTTGGCTGATGATGACATGCTGATGATATTTTCATACTGAGTACTTGGTTTGATCTCCTATCTCTATCTCTTCTACAAATCTTCTAAACTAAAGTTGAATGATTCACTGTATTAAACCATACACTAATAACGACTTGAAACTCTTTGCTGATGGTTGGATCAAAGCACCAAGATCTATCACACACAACTATATCTTCTTACCAATCTTACACTGATTCTGTGATTCAGTGTGACAAAACACATACTGATGAGAGTCTAACAGTCTTTGCCAATGGTTAGATCAAAGCAACAAGATCTATCACACGCAACTATCTCTTCTTACCAATCTTACACTGATTCTGTGATTCAGTGTGACAAAACACATACTGATGAGAGTCTAACAGTCTTTGCCGATGGTTAGACCAAAACACCAAGGTCTATCACACGCAACAATCCTCTTTTTACCTTCTTCTCACTCAGTATCTAATGATTCAGTAAGACGAACCACTCACTGATAAAGACACAACTCTATGTGCCGATGGTTAGATAATTAAACTAGTATCTATCACACGCACCAACCACCTTGCTAGCCTTAATCAAGCAAGTTGTACCTTGAAATGACGGAAAACCATCCTTCAGCATGAAACTCTTGTGACACTGATCTCAGCGCTTCCGCAGACATTGATTGTCGTTTCATCTTCAGTCCAACGGCTCTTTTTACCCAACGGCTATTTTTCTGATTTGACAGGTTGTTACGATATGCAGTTATTTTTGAAGAAGATAATTATTACCTTTTATAACCCGTTTTTTCCCCTATTTAAACCTCTTTCCACCTCTCTTTCAAACCTTCCTTCCATTTTTCAAATTTCCTTCGTTTCTTTTCAAAACCCTAGAATCCTAAAATTCTTCAATGGCGGCATCTCTGTTCACCTTCTCCTCCACTTCAAGAAGAGTAATCCCTGCTCCAAACTCTCCTCCTCTTCCCATATACATCAAAGCCACCAACGTAGTTTTCAACCCTGATATTCCAGATGTTCTTCGAGGTCTTGGACTTGATGATTTTGTTAATTTCTTGGCCTCCTGCCGACTCCGATACGCAATCAGTGATGTTCCATCAGAATTCTTTCCTGAACAAGTCGGTGAGTTCTACTACACTGCAACAATTTATGATGAAAACAATGTCATCTCCGGAACTATTGGCTGTGGAAGACACTTAGTCTTTATTACCGCTAACCTCCTCAGTGCTGCGCTCAGATTACCAATCTTTGAACCCTTCTCTGAGCTTCCTCCTATTGAACGCTGTCGACGTCTCTTTGATCAACTGGGATATGATCACTCAAAGGCTGGTGCTCGATCAGCTCTCATTCTACGTCAATGTATGACTCCAGGATGGAAGTTCTTCACCGATGCTCTGTGCAAATGTGTAGGTCATAAATCTCGCAGTGGTAATCAACTGAGCACTTATGAGCAACAAGTCGTCTGTTCTCTTCTTCTGAACAAACGGCTTGATTATGGGGCTTTCTTCTTTGAGCAACTTATTCAACTTCTTCGTGCAAATGTACGCGCTGATCATGTCCCCTTTCCACGCTGAATTGCTCTTGTGCTAGATAAATTTTTCGCTGAAGATTACTACTCACACCTTGGAAACCCCATCTAATGCCCTCGCATGTCAATTCGAATGTATCAGGATGATCCGTTGGAAACTGACATCGACATCTCTGATCGGATGAGAGAATGGATTGAAAATCCATTAACTGTTCATACACTCACCGCTGATACTGATGAAGGAGCTGATGGTAACAATGAAGATCATGCTGATCAAGAAGCTGAATCACAGGATGGTGGTCATCTGTCCCCTTAACTTTCTCATCATACTCTCTCTGTCACTGAGAAAGTTCACTCAGCTCATGGGGAGCCATCTGCTCAGGGGGAGCAAACTTCTCAGGGGGAGCAACCTTCTTAGGGGAAGCAGCATCAATCACAAAAGCTTCCAGGTACTCAGTTCATCCAAATCCCATCCTCAGCTTTTAATAAGCTTCTTACACTGACTCGCGACATTAGTCAGCGTCTCTTTCGAATTGAAGTTGATGTTCAACAACTGAAAGGAGTTATTCTGTCAAATCCTAACCCTGGCTCACAAAATGATGATGCTAAAAAAGGGGGAGATATTGATGATGATAAAAAAGAGGGAGACACTGATGATGATCCTAAAGAGGGAGACACTGATGATGATCCTAAAGAGGGAGATACTGAATATGTTAAGCTTATATCTGCGGACAACACTTTAGTCCAGATTGAGTCACCAAAGCCGATGCACGAGTCTGATACTGAGGAGCCTGTTAATACTGAAAATTCTACTGAAAATAGTGAGCCTGATGATGAAGAAGAACTGGATGATGAGTGTCAGTTGTTGGACATGAATTTCATTGATCCCACAGTACCAGTTTAAGGTGAAGACTCCAATGTTGTTAGTGAGGATCTTCCTCATTTGTCTCGAAAGCGTAAAGCAGCTGATACTGTATGTGCTGATTCACACGCTGACAATCCTCCTCCTAGCAAGAAACCTAAGTCTATTGTCATCATATCCAATTTGGCGGCTGAATGGAACATGTCTACTGATCAAGTTAAGCAAATTCTTGATGAAGCCAATCAAGCTCAGTTTCTAAAGAATATTGCTCAAGCTGATGAATCTCTCATTCAGCATAAACTTTAGACCAAAGGATCTTTTGAAGCTCAGATGCAGAAATTCTTAGAATATCAGTCCAAATGTAAATCTTCTCAGCCTCCTCCCAACAGCAGTAAGCCTAAGACTGATAATGTTCTAGACAGGATTGATCGAAAGAGGTTTCAAGATGTCCTTAAACGACGAGTGAGTAGTGATAAAATCATCAAAGTTAAAGCTTCTAAACCTCGTAATGAGAAAATTCTTACATTGCTGATAAACTCGTCAAGGTCCTCAACATCCATACACTGAAGTTGTCAAGAGGGATGAGCTGATCAGATACAAATATTCTGAATGGATGGAATTACTCGAATTAGCATCCAAGCAAACTTCAACTCTCTCTTCAGAACTAACATGTTCTCTCCATCTTCTAATCAAGAAAGTTTAGTGTTTGGATCTCGTTTCTATACAGCACTCTCAGCAGCAAGGCAAAAGTTTATCAGTTCCTAGAATTTGAAGAACCAAATTTCAAGTTGATGGTGAAGATGTATTGGTTATAAAATTTGGTGCTGAAGGAATTAACAACTCTCTTCCTATCGGTGTTGAACCGGTTCAACATAAGTTTATCTCAGTTGCTGAACATGGGATGTTCTATCTCGACAAAAACAGAAAAATGTGTTTTCACCGAACTGCTGAGATTCCAAGGGCTCCAACAACTCATCTCGTTGGCTTAAGGCAAATGTGCATGAGTCATCAAGATCTTTCTGGAGAGTTTCACATTTTAATTGCTATGGAGCTACTGAATAGAAGACAGGAGCTGCTGGATAGTCCCTACTGGCCGGTAAAGGTAGAAGCTGAAGCTGAGTATGAAGAATTCTTGTCCAGAGGTGTTTTAATCTAGTTAGTTTTGAACATCATCATATTGGGGGAGATTGTAAGGTCAAACCTTATAATATGATGATGTTTGAAACTTATCCATCAGCGTCAGCATCAGCATCAGCATCAGAATCAGCATCAGCATAAAAGTTGTTCAGTGTATATATTATCTTTTACGTAACAGATCTTGTATTTATCTTGTTTTCTTAGATAACATAGTTTAGTTAGCTGTATATCCCTGATTTGTAGGGATTGTCTAGAATAGTAGTATATATTCTTTTGTATCGGTTTGTGTAGTGTTACGCATCTTCACAAACCCTAATAGCCACTTTGTGCATACGATAATCTCTTTGTGAGATTATCATTCTTAGTGAAAAGTTTTCTTTGTGAATCTTATCGTTCTTATTTTCTTTCATTGTTTGATAAGTTGTTTGATCTTTGGGTCGTTCAAGATACTTTTGGATCAACCTGATACCTTGCGCACACACCCGTTGTAAAAACTATATCTGGTCGGCTAGTAGTGAGATACATGAGGGAGCCAATGATGCCTTTATAAGTTTTGTGATCAACAGGTTCTCCTGAGGGATCAACAGAAATCTTATAACCAAATTCCATGGGGACCTTAGCCGAAGAGCAGTTATCCATAGAGTACTTCTTCAACAGCTCAGAGGTATATTTTTGTTGATCGATGAAGATCCCTTGAGGAATTTATTTAACTTGAAGTCCTAGAAAAGAAGTTAATCTCTCTATTCATGCTCATCTGAAATTTGTTGGTCATGAGCCTAGAAAAATCATCCACCATCCTCTGATCTGTGGATCCGAAGATGATATCATCCACATATATTTGTACTAGCATAAGGTGATCACCATTTTCTTTTCTAAATAAAGTAGGATCAATTACTCCTCTTTTATATCCGGACGAGACAAGAAATGCAGAAAGAGTCTCGTACCACGCTCTTGGGGCTTGATTCAGACCGTAGACTGCCTTCTTAAGTTTATAGCAGTGATCAGGGAATTCAATACTTTCAAAACCAGGAGGTTGCTGAAGATAAACCTCTTCTTTTAATTCCCCATTTAGAAATGCACTCTTAACGTCCATTTGATGAACTTTGACGTTTTTGTGGGCTGCATATGCTAGGAAGATTCGGATGGCTTCCATTCGAGCTACCGGAGCATACATTTCATCATAGTTAACACCTTCAAGTTGATTGTAGCCTTTTGAAACTAGCCTTGCCTTGTTTCTGACTACCGATCCGGACTCATCCAGCTTGTTCTTGTACACCAATCTGGTGCCAACAATCGTGTGACCTTGCGGTTTTGGTATGAGTTGCCACACACTGTTTCGTTCGAATTCTGCTAGCTCTTCTTGCATCGCAGCAATCCTAATGGGCTCTAGTAAAGCTTCTTTGATTGATCGGGGTTCAACCGAAGACATAAACGTTGAGAAGTGGCAGTGATCAGTTAAGTCTTGTGAAGATCTAGTTTGAACGCCTGCTGAAGGATTGCCAATGATCTGACGAGGTGGATGGCTTTCGTCCATATGTGAAGACGTGGTTGAAGGTGATCAGCAGATGCGGTTGAGGGGATGTCTTCAATATCAGAAGAGTCTGAGATAGGAAACGGCAGTTCCCCCTGGACTTGATAACAGCCTGCAGAGTTGTCTTGAGCTGTTGGTACTACGGTAGATTGAAGTGGTTCCCCCTAGACTGTTGATGGGATTTCTTCTGAAACTTGAGGGTGTTCCCCCTAGACTAATGGGAGAGAGAAAATTCTTGAATCAGATCTGGTGTCAATATTTTCTGTGTTCTCATCATCCGAGTCCGAAGAGACGTTTGATGGTTGAGATTCTCTGCGGATGAACGGAGCTGCTTCGATTAGTACTGGAACCTCGATAGTTGTAGTATGACCCGGAGTTGAGTTTTCCCCCTCAACCGGCGAGGTGGAAGTACCTAAAGACAGAACATCGGAGGGTGTAGGACCAGATACTTTAGCATGTTGCAATTTAGCTTCCAGAGAGACAATAACTTCGGATAACTTAGCAATCTCTAGTGGATCAAAAAGATCATCATAGTTAACTTAAACTATGTTTAGAGGACCCAAAGAATCAGGAATATCAGATTCAAGAATTGATTTAGTTTCAGAGGAGGGAGCAGCGTTGCGGACATAGGAATCGTTGAACATTACATCAAAGCATTCGACTATTAGCCTCGTATGTCTAATCAGAACCCAATATGCAATCTTATTAGTTGAGTAGCCTAGGAAGATGCCTTCATCGGATTTAGGCGCGAACTTGTTGAGGTGATTTTGGTTGTTGATCACGAAGCATCTGTATCTAAAAATGTGGAAGAAGCGGACGTTAGGCTCTCGGTTGTTGAGACCTTCATATGATGTTTTGCTGAGACGTTTGCACACTATGTTGCGGTTCTGAACAAAACCACCTGTGGCCACGACTTCAACCCATAAGTACAGAGGAAGATTAGCAAAGTTGAGCATTGATCTGGCTGCCTCCAGCAGAGTTCTATTTCTTCTTTCAACAACACCATTCTGTTGTGGGGTATAGGGAGCTGAGAAATTATGACTTATACCCTTGGACACCAAGAAATCATTTAGTAGATGATCAGTGAACTCTGTTCCGTTGTAGCTACGGATGCGAAGTACTGGCAGTTTGATTTGAAGCTCGATCTCCTTGATGAAACTGATGAAAACCCATGTAAAACGTGTGTAATCATCCACTATAACCAGTATATATTTTTTGTGGTAAAGACTGGCTACGGTAGATGGACCACAGAGATCGAGGTGAAGAAGTTCCAATGGTTCTAAAATTAAGGAGTCGATCACCGTTGGATGACTTGCCTTTGACTGCTTACCACACTCACATGGAGAGCAGAGTGTGTCATTGTGAAATTTCAGAATGGGGAGACCACAGACTAGTTACCCTATGAGTAGATTGTTGATGTACCGAAAGTTGAGATGAGCGAGCTTATGGTGCCAGAGCCAACTCACTTCGGATGCTGCCTTTGACAGAAAGCAAAGCTGCGGTTTGCTAATGATCAGATAAATGTCTAGGGGGTACATAGTACCTTCGGATCTAGATTTGATCAGGCAAGTGCTTCTATCGTATGTCATAATGTAGCAGAATTGATCATCAAATTCAACCCGATGGCATGCCTTACATAGTTGGCCCACACTAATAAGATTGTGTTTCAGACCTGCCACATAAGCGACCTTTTTTATTGAAAAATTTCCCGTAGTAAGAACACCATAACCTCGGATGATCCCACTTGCATTGTTTCCAAAAGTGACATTACCCCCATTGCAAACTG